ACATAAAGATATAATCTGTGACAGTAACCACACAAAGTGGGGTTGGGAATTTATAAGAGCTGAGTGTATACTACTGAATGAAGCTGGTATTTCAAGGAAATAGGCGTGTCACCAGGATGGTAAACAGGTGATGTCCTCAGCTTCCCCAAGTGTCCTCCTTGGGCGAAGCTGGTATTTCAAACTAGGTTGCTCTCAGTTTAAGATGTTAATTGCAATCCCAAAGGTAACCAATAAGAAAATCTTTGTTTAGAAATAGATACAAAAGGGAAGAAGGGAATCAGAAAGGGTGCACTTTATATAAAAATAATCAGCTAAATCCATAAAAGGCAGTAATGGAGGAATTGAACAAAAAGCATATAGGACACACAGAAAACAAATAGCTAATAGAAGAAGGAAGTCAGGTGCCTGGGTGGCTCAGTTGGTTAAGCGACTGCCTTTGGCTCAGGTTATGATTCTGGAGTCCCAGGATCGAGTCCCCCATCAGGCTCCCTGCTCAGCAGGGAGTCTGCTTCTCCTTCTGACCCTCCCCCCTCTCATGCTCTCTCTCTCTATCTCATTCTCTCTCTCAAATACATAAATAAAATCTTTAAAAAAAAAGAAGAAGGAAGTCATTAGTCATTAAATATAAATGGGTTAAACTCTCCACATAAAAGGCAGAGTTTGGCAAAATGAATTTAAAAAAAAAACACTCCACAAATATGCTGTATTCAAAGAGACTCACTTTGAAAGAAATCTACAAAAAGTTTGAAAGTAAAAGGATGGGGAAAGATATTCCACAAAAACAGTACACAGCTGGGTGGCTATATTATTATCTGACAAAATTGATTTTAAGTCAAAAAGGTAACAAGAGACAAGGTCGGTATACACCAATAAAAATTTCCATTCATCAGGAAAAAATAACAATTGTAAACCTCCATCCCTAAAGCAAAAATTGACATCTTTGAAGTGAGTTGGAGACTTGACTACCTCACTTTCAATAATGGCTAGGAGAATTCAGGTGACAGGAAGATGGCTACGGACAGAGGATTTGAACCACACTCTGTGAGACCTAGCAGACGGACACAGAGCCCTTCCCAACAGCAGCAGGGCACATGTGCTTCTCAAGTGCACATGGAACATCCTCCAGGACACACCATCTGTGAGGCCACAAAACAAGTCCTAATAAATTTTAAAGGATGAAATCATACATAGTATCTTTTCCAATCAGGGGGAGTAGAAGCAGAAGGCAACAGCGGAAGGAGCACGAGAATACTCAGAAGTATGTGGAAATCAAGCAACCCATGGGTCAAAGAAGAAATCACAAGGGATGTCAGAAAATGCCTTGAGACAAGTGGAAACAAAAACTCAACGTACCGTGTTATAGGACCCAGCAGAAGCAGTGCTAACTGCAGAATTTCTAGCTGCCAATGCCTACATTACACAAGAAGAGAGATTTCAAATCAGTAACCTAACGATACACTTGAAGGAGCTAGAAAAAGAACAACCAAAGCTGACAAACCTTTTAGCGACACTGACCAAGGGGGAAAAAAGAGGTACTAAAATCTGCAGTGAAAGTGGGAACATTACTACCAACTTCACAGAGACAAAAAAGGATTGTAAGGAAGTGCTATGAATAACTGTGTGACAGAGATCCAGCCGTCGAAAGGGATGGAGTTTTGATACATGCCACAACATGGACGGACCTTGAAAACACTGTGATCCCACTGCAGGTATATCTAGAAATATCTAGAACAGGGAAACTGATCGGGGACAGAAAGTAGAAGAGACGACCAGGTGGGGGACGGGAGAAGGGAGACTGGGGTGTTATTGATTAATGGGTACAAAGTTTCTGTTGGGGGTGATGAAAAAGTTTTGGAACTCAATATGGTGATGTTTGCACAGCAGTGTGAACGGCACTAATGTCACTAAATCGTACTCTTAGAAGTGGTTAAATTGGCATATTTTATGTTGTATATATTTTATGCTGGTTTTTAAACAATAACATTTGCATTTCCTGACCCAGTATGGTGGCTGCCTTTCTACAGCTTTGGAGGAAGAGGGAACATTTTCTGCTTGTTTTATTGGGGTTTCTGTTGACCACCCATTAGGAACTTACAGGTTTCAGGGTTAAATTTGAATTCCATCAGCATTTAGTGGTGGCGGTGGGGATTGTAAACAGATCAAAACATGCAACGTGGGTGGGCAAAGGCCAGGGGGAGGTTATTAGCCACTGGACTATGGCCGGGCAGTACTTGGCATCCTCTGTTCTCTCCAGGGGCCCATGGTCCGCCCTTTACCGGGACTGGAATCCTCCCAGCAACCTCACCATTGTCCTTAAACCTTCTCCTGTTTGCTTTGAATTCAGGGGAAAGATCTGTAAAGCAGCCTTAAGGCTTCAGCTGAGCCTTATTCCATAAGCATTTCTGCTACCTATGAACTAGGATTTCCAGCCTCCCTGCAACTCCACATATAATTGATTTTGCCCAGAAACACACCAGAAGCCCCCACCCTGCCCACCTCTCTCGGCCAGACACATGGGGGTCACTCATTCTGGCTGGGGTCGGACGAATCCCTGCTGAGTGCTGGTTTGTGAGGATACGGGTGCTGGTGAAAGACCACCCCACTCCCCCTTCACTGGCCAAGATGAATTCCTGGACCATATGGTTCTGAAGTCCACTGCATCAGGCAATCACCAGCTTATGGCCTCAGTCCTGTTGGTACCGACTTGTCCTAAGAGCTAGGCCAGAGCCCTTAGAGCTTGCAGCTCCCTGGGATGGCTGTGTTCTTTGTCCAGGTCTGTGATTTGGTTACGTCATGGAGGAGGTGGGTGGTTCGAACCTTTCCTGCAGGGTGGGTTGAAAGATGAGGCCTGGGAAGGAGGGGGAGGAATCCCAAGACTGCCCACCCAAGGGCACAGCCCCACCAAGGAAATAGGCGTGTCACCAGGATGGTAAACAGGTGATGTCCTCAGCTTCCCCAAGTGTCCTCCTTGGGCTTCACCATTAAAGGTTAACATAAAGGGTTAACTCCTGGTCCAGCGGGGAGCCTCCAGGACCCTGGACAGTTACCAGTCAGCCCCTCCATAATTAGAGTTGACCCTTGAGCCAACAACACCGGTTTGGACTGTGCGGGCCCCCTTCACACGGGTGTTTCTCCCTACAGTCCAGGACTGTAAATGTATTTTCTCTCCCTTAGGAATTTCTTAACATTTTCTTTTCTCTTGCTTACTTATTGTAGGAAGATAATTTATAATACATACACAAAATATGTGTTAATCATGTATGCTATCGATAAGGCTTCTGGTCAACAGTAAGGCTGTTAGATGTTAAGTTTTGGGGGGGTCAAAAGTTAGGGATTTTTGACTGTGGGGGGGGTCGGCACCCCTAACCCCCATGTTATTCAGGGCTCAGCTGTATTTTCAACTTCAGCCTCTGGCTACAGGCTGTAAAGGCAAAAGCCCGATGAATTGTGGGATGACCCGACAGCGGCAGGTGTCCCCCAGACATAGAGCAAGGCTGGCCTCTGCCAGAGAGACCTTCTCCGAGCAGCCCAGGGGCTGGGCACATACCTGGATCCCGATGCCCCAGCCATTCTGACGTGGCCAAGCCCTCCAGGGATGCGATTTTCTGAATGACAGGTAGGCACGACTGTGTTTTCCCCCAACAAGAGCTAGAAGTGCCCAATCCCAGGGCCGGTCGAAGGCACTGGGGTCCGAGAAGTTTCTCCTGCCGTGCCCCCTGAGAGCAGACAGAAACACTTAGAGAAGTCGTGTGCATACTAATGTGGCAGAGGAGGGACACACTGTTGCATCCTTGTGCTTCCACTGGCCAAGGACAGGGACAGTCACCAGGAGAGGCCCACACTGCCACGAGGGTCCATCCCCGCAGTCTGTGACAAGGAACCCTCTCTTCACACCTGAGAGCCCTTGACCAAGCCAGGAAGCCCAGGGTAGCCACCGTGGTCACAGGCCGACCCGAGCGCACCCTGCTTTTTGGGGGGACGGGTTTGCCCCGTGTAGCTCTACTGCGTGGGGCCACAGGACTCAGTTCCCCAGACCTCAGTCTTCCATCTGTGGCCAGAGAGGGAAAGCATGCTGGCTGCCTCCTGGGTGCTGTTGTCCCCAGCCCCACCCCCATCAGGCAGAGCCGCTCAGAACTCCAGAATCTTCTCTCCTTTGAGCCCTCAGCACCACCCCATTGAGATGAAAGAATGAGTGAGGGGTGGGGAAGACACCCCCTACCAGCATCGTTTCGAGCCCTAGCTTTGGAGTTTCATGACCTGGGGCATGTGACCCCCTCTCAGTGCCCACCTGCTGTGGCCATGGTGACGTCAGGCTGCTTAAGCACTCGGCATGATGCCCGATGCCCAGACCCCCAGATGTGGGAATGGCCCTGACTCCGACCTCCGCCTCCAGCGCCTCAACTCTGCCAGAGCCACCCAATGCCCAGCCCTCTTGCACCTTGTGCTTCTCACCCTCCAGGGTGATGCTCTATTCTCTCTTCAATGTGCATCCAGTTGGAAGCTGAGTCCATTTCTCCTCCCAGGCCAGGTGCCCAGACCCCAGTTAGAACACAGAGGCCACTGCCCACACCCCAGAGGACTTGGTGTGGCTGGGCTCCACCGGTCCAGGGGAGGCCACAGCCCGCAGAGCCCAGCTCCTCTCTCACCAGTGGCTACCGCCTGCCCTGCCCCCTGGGAACCAGCAGTCCAGGGCCGAGGGACCGGCACCTGAAGCCCAGTCCTGCTCGGACACTTCACTTCTTCAAACCTGTTTCCTGCTCTCTAGAATGAGGGGTTTCTCCAGACTTCCTGGAGCTTGAGGACTGAGGGACACCATGGGGAAAGGCAGTCGGCCCAGCGCCTGGGGCTGAACAGAGCTGAGAGCCCCGCTTCCTCCAGCTGGGGCCTCGGGAGCAAAGGAAGACGCCAGATAGAGAGAGATGAGGCTTTATTCAGGAAGAGCTCTGGAGGGGAGGTGGGTTCCCCAGGTCTCACCCTATGGCTTCTTGGAGCCGAGGACATTAGAAGCCGATGACTATGGGCATCTGAGCCCGCTCAGAGTCCCCCGAGGGGGGCGCGGGGGCGGCATCAGAATCCCCGGAGGGGGCAATGGGGGTGGCATCGGAGTCCCCAGAGTGGGGGGTGGGGGTGGCATCGGAGTCCCCAGAGTGGGGGGTGGGGGTGGCATCGGAGTCCCCAGAGTGGGGGGTGGGGGTGGCATCGGAATCCCCGGAGGGGGGAGCGGGGGAGGCCCCATTTCCGGTCACTGTGGGCAGTGCCTGGTAGGTCAAGGTCCAGAAGTGCAGGTAATTAGTCCTCAGGTGCTGCTTCATGGAGTTGTGATCCATCTTCTTGGTGATCTCCAGGTAGTTACCACTTTCCACCGTGTAGGGATCCCAGTGTGTGGGCACAGCTGAATGTCCCATGTTGGGGTCCCTGCAGGGAGACAAAAGGCTGGGTGGGGGCTGGGGGCTCACAGGAGGCTGGAGACATGTGTCCCTAGCCCATCTGGGCCCTGGCTTGCCTGGACAGTCCTCCACCCTCTGCGCTGACCCTTACCATCAGGGTACCTCACTATATGGTGCCTGGGCCCCGGCTGGGCACATGGAACCCCAAGAGGTGCTGATCTCGGGGCCTGGGCAGTGGCCCCATCCTCCCAGACAGACAGAGATACCGAGGATCCAGGAAGTCAATTGTAAGTGAGGGAGCAGGGACTGGAACCCAGGCCTGCAGGGCCAGGTGGCAGGGGGTTCTGGGCTCAGCCTCACTGCTGTCTTACCCAGTTCTGGCAAAGTTGGTCCAGTAGGCAATCATGGCCTTGGAGACCGTCCTGTCTTGGGTCCGGTAGCCCAGGGGCGTAGCGAAGGGCTTCCCAAAGACGTACTGGATGTCATCCGCGTGGTCAGCCCCCACCCATTTGGGGTAGGTGGGCATCCGAGAGGGGTGGGAGAACATGTAGGTGTAGGTTTTGGCACTCCTGAGGAGGGAGGGGAGACCACCCAAGTTGGCAAGGTGCTCACCTGGGGGCCACCCAGCACAGGGATGGGCTCCGGAGGGAGCTGTGGAGGGAGCAGGGAAGGGTCTGGGGAATTCCCATAAGACTCATGAAGAAGCTGGGATCCTGACACCTGGGAAAGGGAAAGCCGTGGGCCAAAGCCACGGATTCGAAGCTTCTACAATTTCGGTTGTGTTTATAATTCACCACCACAAAACACACTGAGGCAGCTTCCTCCTGCAATTCAGTATCAAGAAAGATCTTTTTTGCTCTGCAAGTGAATTTGTATCTTAATTTAATTGGACAAGGTATATGCCCTCAGATGTTTCCCTTTTTGCCTTGACTGACAGGAAGCTCAGAGCTACATTTATTGCTTAGTTGCTGCAAAGCTTTCATTCTAGATTCTAGGTATAATATTGTCTTCCTACTTTTCAAGCATTCCTAACTTTTTAATTTCATTGGCTATTATCATATAGTGATTTTTAATGTGGTCCCAGGCTTAAGTTATTTTGAAAGTTGGTCAAGTTGAAACCCACAACAGAGACCATTATCATCCAGGGTTCTTTCCTTCTACACAGCTTGAGGGATGGAAGGTCAACTCAAGAACTTTTCAGTGGGAAGGACTGTGGGGTGAGGGAGGGCACTCAGTGCCAGGCCGGGCAGAGGATTGTGGGAGGGTTTTGCAAAGCCCCCTGAGGCTGGGAGGTGAGGAGGGGCCCTCTCAGGTCTTGTCAGGCCTGGGCAAAGCAGGTGGTGCAGGCCCAGGTGGGGACCCGAGCCACCCTCCCAAGAGGTCTCAGGGCGCAGGTGCACCATCCCAGGTGGGTGGGCCTCCCCAGGGAGCCTCCCTGCCCAGGTCCTCACTTGGCATTGGCTCTATGCTGGGCCACGGCAGACTGGGTGGGCACCAGGAAGAGGATGTCGGTCTCCAAGTCCACCATGGTCTTCTTTTTGGTCTCTTGGGACGTGTCGTGGGCCCAGGGCTTGGTGTAGATGTCAAAGGTGGCGTTGGCACCCCTGAGTCCCTTGGTGATGGTGAGCCCGCTGACCAGCTTGTAGAAGTCCTCTCTGCAGGGACCACACCAGCACTGGACCCTCCACCCAGTGCCAGTGGGAGGGTATCTGCACCCCCACCCAGCAAAGGGCAAGGGATGGCCCCCAACACAGTGCTGACCTCCCTCAGCTGCCCCTGGGCACTGCCCCCTGGGTCCCGCACCCACTGCTTACTCGGTGACCTCCTCTTTGTTCTTGTTGATGGCTGGCATGTCGATGCTGGCAAAGATGTGGCCGTCCATGTTGTTGAAGCCTGCTATGTAGTCAATGTCGGCCGCATTGGCGTACAGCTTGACGGGGTCATCGGGGATGAAGTCTCCGTCGACGACAGGGAGAAAGCCCAGATAGTGCAGTGCAGGATCTGGGTGGGAGAGCAGCCGGCTCTGACACTTCCGGTACCCACTGCTCCTCCCCTCAGCCTCTGGGGGCAGGACTCAACTCCAGCACGACCTCCTGCCTCCTCTGATCTAGACCCGGCTTCTCAGGCCTCAGCACCACCCACATTGAAGGCGGGGTAATTCTATGTCCAGCACCCTGCGGGGTGTCCATCCACATCCCTCAGCCCGCAGGACACCTGTGGCACCCCCTCTGCAGTTATGACAATCAAAACCGTCTCCCGACGTGGGCACATGTGCCCTGGAGCAAAAGTTCCCAGGCCGAGAACCACTGGTCTGGAGCCCAGGGCTGTCCTCCCTCCAGCCTCTGGGAGGAAGACGAGGAAGTAATTGAGATGACCGATGGAGAAGGAGGCACCCCGTCTCGGGGCTGGGCTCCAGCGTGTTCGCCAGAAACTGCGAGGTCCACATTGCCCTGCACACCCCTGAACTGGCCCCGAAAGGACCGTAGAGCTGGCTCGGGGCAGGTGGAGGCAGTGGCCTTCGTGAGGCCCAGCCCGGCGGGTCTTCCTTCCGGTGCACGCCGGAGGAAACGACTGGTTTGCATTTGGGGCCACGTGTTTGCTTGGCTTCCGCTTTGCTTATGGTTTAATTCGCATCAGGTAAAGATGCAAATGATGGGGCCTCTTACTTAGCATCAAAAAGGTAAGCAAGAGCGGACCCCAGCCTACTGCGCTGATGAGGTCCCCAGCATGCCGGGGTACACAGGAGCAGAGCCGGGAGGGCTGGGTGCTGCCGCGGGCGCTCAGTGGGTGCGTGTTCACTGCATGAGTGGCAAGAAGAACAAATGACCGTCTAGGACAAAGTCTCCCGGTCTTGGGTCCATGAATCTCCCTAAAATTGTGCACAAATGACCACGGATGTGTGCCTTGTCGGGCACCAGAGCCCACATGTTCATCAGCTTCTCAAAGGGGTCATGACCCACAGGGGATAAGAAGAAAGAACGGCCCTCCTCCTTACCAGCCTACCAGGGTGCTGGTGGCAGTAAGCTGCCTAGGGACACCAGCAATCTGCGGACAGGGCCAGCCTCAGACCCAGCAATTCCTCTCTCCTCCAGGAGCATGGCCGGCCCTCCCCTGACTGGGAGCACCCCCAGGCTCCCCCAGCAGCCTCCACTCACACTCCATGCCTGCCAGGGGCATCTTATAGGCCAGCGTCAGGGCACGGGGGTCGGTAATCTTCAGACACTTGGCCATCCTGGCGGTATCGTCCAAGGGGCAGCCCACCTTCTCAGCGATCTGGAGTGGGGGTGGGTAGGCAGGTGGGTGAGGCCAGTGCTCTGGGTAGAAGGTGATGGAGTCCAGGACAGAGTGGAAAAGAGGGAGGCACCCCCCCGCCCGCCACAGCTCCTCCTTACCCTTTTGGCCCAGAAGAGGGGGTTCTTCTGGATGGCCCAGGGGCACACTGCCACGCCACTCTGGCTAATGGCTCGCCGGATAAGGCCCTTGTTGTAGGGAGAGAGGGTCTGCAACACACAGAGGTCCTGTCACCAAGGCCTCGCCACACCTGCCCACCCTGGGCTTGGCCAAGGACACCCCACACATCAGTTCCAGCCCCTCTCCTCCCTGCTCCCATTGACTAGCTCCCACACACTTGGGGGCAGGTCCACCCTCTGGGGCCGCCAGACCTGCAGAGAAACGCTGGCACCTCCAGCTGACTCCCCAAAGATACTGATGTTGTTGGGGTCCCCCCCAAAGGCTTCAATGTTCCTCTTCACCCAAGTGATGGCCATGTGCTGATCCCGAAGGCCATAGTTACCTGGGGGCGGGATGGGGGATGGGCCTTCATCAGGGACCCTTGGTGGGGGCTGGGGTGCCAGGGCCTGGGCCACACAGGGTGAACAATGCACGTGGGTGGGATGAGAACGCCCTCGACTGCACGGAGACCCTGGCTGAGCGCCAGGATGTTGAATGGTGGGTCCCCCGGAGGCTGGCCGGGTGGGGTGCTGGGGCAGGTGTGGGGCTCAGGCTGGGGGCGGGGGCAAGGAGCAGGAGGGCCAGCCTGCTCTTTTCTCTCCCTCCCTGCCACAGCCCCCCTTGTCTGTCCGTGGCTCCTTGTTGCCGCCTCAATTTCTTATCTTGTCTTTCACTGGCTCCCTGCACCTGCTCCACTGGGCCTCTGGGTCCCGCTCTGTCTGTCAGTCTGTGGGCCTCTGTTCTTTCACTACAGCTGCCAAGGGGCTCCTGCATCTCACAGTGCATCTCCAGCTCCCTGGCTCTGCAAATAGGATTCTGGGCCTTTCCAAGGGGACTGGCAGGAGCTGTTCAAGCACGATGGGAGCTAAGGCTCAACCCCCGCCGGGCCCAGAGCTCACGGGGCTGGGCGCACTTGCTCCCCTCCCCAGTGCCCAGGATACCCGGCGGACCTGGCAGGCTGGCGTCCCCAGTGCTGAGGAAGCCCAGGGGGCCGACACGGTAGTTGAAGGTGACCACAATGACATTGCCCCGTGTGGCGATCTCCTCCCCGTCGTACAGGTAGTTGCTGAGAAAGTTGGCCCCGTGGCCCGCCCCCATGAGGAAGCCGCCTCCGTAGATCCAGATCATGACGGGCAGGTTCCGGGAGACTAAGGCAGAGCAGAGCAGACCCAGTGACTCCAGATGCACCCCCCCAACCCGGCTCCCCTCCGCACCCTGTGCTGATTTCAGGGAAGTTTGGCTCTGGAGCCCCCCAGACACAAGGGTAGGGCCTGAGTCTCTGGCTGCTTGGGGGCGTGCTGCAGGGTGCGGGGAGGGCGAACCCACCTTCCTTCTTGCCCTGGGGGACCCAGATGTTGAGGTAGAGGCAGTCCTCCTCCCCGTAGGTGTTGTCCTGGGTGATGGTGGCCTGCAGACACCGCTTCTTGAAGTCCTTGGCCTTCAGGGTTCCTGCGGGCAGCCGGCAGGGCCGGTGAGGATGGCAGCTGCCCCACGGCACCCCCAGGCGCGGGGCCTCACCAGCCCCTGCCCGCTCCCACCTTGCCAGCCAGGGTGCTGCTGAGGGTTCTCCAGGGCCTTCGGGGGGGCGGCGAAGGGGATGCCCTTGAAGATGTCGACATAGTCGCCAAAGAGGCTGAGCTTCTTGTTGACGCCCTCCACGAAGCCTCCTTCCGTGTACACCACGCCCAGCTGGGGGTGGAGGCCGAGGCTCAGGAAGGCCCAGGCGGGTCTCCCGAACGGGGCTGGGAGGCAACCTGAGCAGGCCCCAGGGTGCCCCGAGGTTCCCCAGAGACAGCTTCAAGGAGGGGCCAATGTGCACCTGAGCCCTGCCGTTTGCCCACGTTGCTAGAGGAGCAGCTTACCGCCTTGGTCCCGGACCCCGAGGGTGTCCTGCTCCCTGAATCTTGGAGGAAGCTGGGTCAACCAGTATGTTCCCACTCCAGGGAGCCTTCCAAGTAGGCCAGGAGAGGTGGGTTAGAGGTTTGGATCTCGGCCATGGCCACCTAGCCGTGACCATGAGGCTGTTTCCCCATCTCTACGGTGGCCCGTTTGCTCCCCTTGTGTCCCCCCTTCCCCCAGGGTCCAGCTGGCCTGGAGTCGGTGGCCTGGTGACTCACAGCCCTTGTGCTCAAGTGCTGAGAAAGACCCCCGCCCCCCAGGCCATCAGAACCACTGCTGTGTATCCAGCCCTAGCCCTGAGCTGGGCCCTTGCAGCCAGTGCATCCAGTCTGCATGAGGGTCCTGGGGGCTGGTGCTCATCTACCCATTGTCCCAGAAGGGAACTGAGGCTCTCCTGCTTGAAGTCACCCGGTGAGAAACAGCTATCTAACCTCAGAGCCAGACTCCCATCCCCTCCTAGGGCTGCACCCCCACCCATCGGGTCCCATGGCAGGTGTCTGCTTCCTGGCTCTCACCTGTGCTACGTCCCAGGGAGCCAAGGGCAGGGCAGCTCCGCACCCCCAGGCCCAGCTGCGCTCCCAGTGCCCTGTAAGGTCTAGGCTAACAGGGAACCGGGGAAGAGGCCAGAGCAACTCCTGCCAGGAGCCTCAGGGGTGGGGCCAGGGGCAGGTGCAGCTCTGCTCCCCCACCCCTACCCCCGCCCCATCTCTTGGCTCAGGAGGTGCAGCCTTGTTTCAGGCCTCCAGGCATCTTTTCTGACAGGCTTCCCGGCTGCTGGGATGGAGCAGCAGGCCAGGTCAGTACCTGGGGACTGGGAAGTCACCTCTCAGAACTGAGACTGGCCTGAGGGCCCTGGGTGAGGGTGGGGAGGGTAGCACCGGCTGCTGGAACAGCGGGGAGCAATCCTGGTCTTTTCTGCCCTCAGAGAAGCCCCCCTCCCCCGGAGAGTGACCTCCTCCTGGGGGCAGCAGGGGCCCAAGGCCAGCACCTGAACCTCTGGGGCCAAGGGGCAGGCCCCAGGGCAGCTGGGACGGAGGTGGCAGGAGGAGGGTGGACACCACAGGGCCGCGTGTCTGTGGGGTTTCAATCCTGCAGCCCCTTCCCTGCCTTGTTCTTCACCCCGTGGCAATGGCGTACCCGCCCCAGGCGGCCTCCTGACTGGCCAGCAAGCAGGTGGGGACCTGCCGCTTGGGACATGGAGGTTACGCTGGGAGCCAGACTCCGGAGTTTTAGGTTTCTGTTCTTGGGCAAACTGCTCATCTGCTCTGGGCCCGTCTCCCCTTCTGTGAAAAGGGGACATTGACATCTCTAGAGAGGAAAGAGCCAGAGGGGTGTTGGGTTCCCAGACTCAGCAAATAAAGATTGAGGACTCCCAGTTACATTTGCATTTCCCATAGACTTTTTTTTTTAGTATATCCCAAATATTGCATAGAAGATACCCACACCAAAAACTTCTCGTGGTTTGTATGAAATTCAGATTTAATTTGGCATCCTGTATTTTATCTGGCAGGCTGTCATATGAATGAGAATATACACAAAACATGAGGTGCCCAGGGAATGCCATTTTGGTTGTCGGGGTCTCTTTCTCAGGCTGGCTCTTCTGGCCAGTGACCCTGTCTTCCCTCCGCTGTACCCTGTCCTGCTTCCAGGTCTCGCTTAGGGAGAGGAGAGAGGGGCCCCTCTGCTGGGCCCTCGCTTACCTTCGCCGTGCTCACTACCGCCCAGCAGCAGGTGAGGCCCAAGACGACCAGCCCCAGGTGCCCCATGGCGTGCGCCTGCCTGTGTGTGGCCCTCCCCTCCGGCCCGCGGGTATTTATGCGGCTGCAGCTGGCCGGGAGTCCGAGGTAGCAGCTGTCCGCAGAGGGCCCCTTTGCCCTCCTCCCACCTCTGCCCCTTCTTCCGGGCTGGCCACACTCCAGGCAGTGTACCTGGGGCCAGGAGACAGCTGCTGTTTCCAGCTAGCCTCGGGCTGGGCCCAGGTCACACAGTAGGGCACGCACACGTGCACAAACACGGCGCAGGGACAGGCTACTTTCCCAGGGCTGGCTGCCCCCAATGCCGTGGTGCCACAGCGCACCTGTGCAGGTTCCCACCTACCTGGGAGCGGAGGCAGATGGCACAGGACCGAAGGTCGCCAGGCCGTCGGCTTGCCCGGGTGGACAGTGCCCTGCATTCTGGCTCCCTGATTTACAAGGACTCGGCTCTGCCCTCAGAAAAATGGGCATGCTTGGTCTCCGTGGCCTGCCTGCCACCCATCCCCAGCTCAACAGAGGGAGCTTGTAGGGGACCGGGCGTGTGACTTCTGGGCTGTGTGCCACTGGTCAGCCAGTGGGGTTGACCCTTGTTACCGAGGGCCTGCTGGGTGTGCAGTCTGAGCCAGGTGTGGGGACCCAGAGCAGCACAGATGACCCTGCCCTTGGGGGGTGGGGGAGGCCTCACGTGCAGTACAAGTCCTGGGATGGGAAGGCAGGAGGCGCGGGTAGACAAGGGAAAGGGGGAAGTGGGGCTCCAGCCCAGCCCCGAGGCCTTCCTTAAGGAAAAGGAAAAGGAAAAGCCAGGCTTTCTGGCCACAGAAATGGGCCACGCAAAGACCCTGCGGCAAAGCCAAGCAGAGACGGAGACCGACCAACAGAGAGTGGAAGGGACAGAGACCAAGAGCGTCAGAGAGAGCGGGAGGGAGAAAACCGAGCACAGAAGTAGGGGTGACACAAAAGCGGCCCCTACTGTTTCCTAGGGCTGTGCAGGACTCTGGTCACCGGGGGTTACTTATTAGAAAAGGCAGGCCACCAAGGACAAGGCCTGAGATGGTGCCTTTGAGTTCGGCTGCCCCTCGGGTCACGGCTCACGGCGGCTGCTCAGACCCCTCCGCACAACCGCCTCTAGTGAGGGGGACGCACTCAGGAGCCAGGGGACAGCAGAGGCCCGTGAGGCCAACAGCCCCGCAGCCTGGGCCCCGGCAGGCCCTCTGCTGCCCAGGAGCGGCGCCTCGGACGCAGGCCACAGCCCCACTACCATCGCGCCTGCTGCCGCCACCAAGCCTGCCTGCCAGATCCAAATCTTCTGGGACGCAGAGTGGAGAGAAGCTGGAGAGAGGTGGGGAGGGGTGGGGGGGGGGGTGGGCAGCTGCGGGTGGGAGGGAGGAGTTAGGAAACCAGGAAGGGGCTCGTGTGCCTTCAGCCGGGCAGTGAGGACGAGGGGGGAAAGAGCCTGAGCCCCACCCCGGACAAGGACGGGGAGTTGTTAACCCATGCCTTCTGTCCAGCTCTTCCAATTCTGAGAACCTGCTCTACAGAAAGTTATTCTGAATATGGGGGAGGGGACCCCTCCTGGTCCCCAGCAGCAGGGAGCGGGGCCATCGTGGGCGGTCAGCCTGGCAGCTTCCCCTCTACAAGGCAGGTGGCCAGGACTAGCCACTTTAGGCCAACTGTGAGCCACTGGGGCTCCTGATCTGTCCTCTGAGGGGGCTCTCCAGGAGCCTGGGCAGCAGACTGGGGCTTGCCTGAGGCATCGGACTTTAGAATTAATGGGACTTAGGGACCTGTCACACTAGGTGGCCCAGTCCGCTGGCTGAAGAAGGGGGTGGCCGGGCTCACCTCCGGCTCAGGCTGCTCTGTAGGACGGTGGCACAGCTGTCCCCCTGGCATGGGTGGGAGTTTCACACCAGGGAGCTGGGAGGCACCAGGGTCTGCGTCCCCTTGAACTTCTCAAGAACACACGTGGAGCAGTAAGGGATGAGCTCGAGGCTGCAGGACACTCTGGGACCTGGCGTCTGGGGTACTCCCAGCTGCTCTCACCCAACCTGTAAGAGGAAACTCTCCTCTGGCTCCGACCCCCGCAGTGAGACACCACTTTCTCCGTGGGAAAGTGTATTTGGTAAGAACAACTCCAGCTGGGTCCCAAATGGATGGGATCCAAACCCAAAGACAGTCTTTGCCCGTCTGTGACCACGGGCCAGCTTCCTCGCTAGTCACCAGTCATCACTGCCACCGGTCATCAGCTCCAAGGCGAGACCACCCCGCCCCCTGCCACATCCTCCCCACCTCCAGCTTCTGCTGTCCTCGGCCAGAGAGAGGTGCTGGGCCCCGGCTCATCCTGCTGGACACTGGGCTGGCTCACAGCTGCAAAAAACCGGGTCACACCCTCTGGGGATGTCCCCAAGCACCCAGGGCCGGAGGGCAGTCCCACGCAGCAGGCGTCACGGGCGGACGGGCAGGACCAGGGTCAGCTGCAGCCGGTGCCAGGAGCCCAGCTTTCCTTGGTGGCGGTGGGGGGGCGGGGGGGTGGCTCCTCGGGCCGCTCTGGTTACCGTGGGCAGCAATGGGGAGACACGGCTTGTCCCGGTTCCACCGCCAGTCCTGCACGATCAAGGACGCCCAGCCTTGGGGGCAGGGCCGTGTCACACGTAGTCCAGAATCTCCGTCTCCATCTCATTGTCGCTGCCATCGGACGGCTTGAAGTCCTCCTCCTCCTCTTCCTCCTCCTCCTCCTCGGCCCCTGACTCGTACGTCAGGGGCTCTTGCCCCCTGTCGGCCTTGGCCGGGCTGGAGAAGAGAGCTGGGGCCAGGAGACAAGGCCGTGTGTGTCCCAGCTCAGGCCTCCTGGGTGGCCCCCGGACCAGCTACTGCCGGCCTCAGCCCGAGAGAGGCGCCGGACAGCCCAGCGTCCGGACCAGCAATCAGGCTGCTGGGGGCCTATTCACGACGCGTGTCTGGGCTCAGGCCCCAGGGAAGCCATCTGGGGAAGTACAGAGGGCCGGGGGGCCTGGCACCCTACGGCGTAACAAACACGGCAGGGCAATACGGAAGCCAACAGCTTTGCAAGCCACTTCCGCACAGGAGGCTGGGTGGCTTCACGGGTCCAAGGGGCCCCGACAGTGTGCAGGAGGACATGCTGTGTGAGTGCTTTTTTCTGGGGACAGGGTCCAGAGCCTCAAGCAGATTCTCAGATGGGGCCGGGTCCCAAACGAGGCTGAGAGCCCCTACTCCCGTCAGCTCCGTGGAGTCTGGCGGGGTCCAGGAGGAAGCCGTGAGAGGGGCCCTCTCGCTCACAGCCCCCCCGCCCCGCCTCATCAGACCCACAGACCAGCAAGTGCTCCCTTTTCCTCACATCCCCCTACCACCGGCCAGCGACCAGGGCTGCCTGGTCCTGGGAAAGGGGCAGCCCATGGGGGGGGTGACAGGCCCCCCACACCTGCTGCCCCAGCTCTCCCGGTGCAAGAAGACAGGCTGGATGCGCCCACAAATGGCTGGAAGAGGTAGGGGGGTGTCAGGGCACAAAGCGGTGGCTCCAATGGCGGCACCAGCCCTGCTCCAGCCCTGCGCCAGCCCCGCGCCAGCCCTGCTCCAGCCCTGCACCAGCCCTGCTCCACCCCTGCCCTCCGGGCCTGTCTCCACCCAGGGAGAGGCAGGCAGCCTGGGGGATCTGGCTCCCAGGGGGGTGATTCCACTTGGGTGTAATTTCTTGGGGAGCAGGGCCTTTAGGGATACTTGCTCTGTCCCAGAGCAGGGCCCCCCTTCACCCCGAGCACTCTCACCAGGCCTCTTGGAGCGGATGGTCTGCCGGATCATGAGGGACATCGTGTCCCTCAGGTCATCACTGGTCTTGGGGAGGCACCAGCCATCTCGCTCCGTGCAGCAGTTCTCAGCCCCGTCGTTGCGGTGAATGATCCTCTGCAACCTGGGGGTCGGGACACAGCATTTCAGGGTAGGCTTTTGCCGACAGGTGCCGTGAGGGTCTGGCAGAGGCGGGACAGTGCTGGGAACAATAACACTGGGACAGCCATGCAGAGGGCCGAGCGCAGCACTGAAGAACACCCATGGAAGCCAGACCCTCGCGGCGGGGGTCCTGACTGGTGTGGCCCCTGCCTCCAAGCTGCACAGACGGTGGGGGGCGGCCACGCGAACTTTCCTACGAAAACCCCGGGCTCTCACCTGACTCGAGCTGCATCTAACGAGCTCCCGTCTCTCCCCATCCCAGCGCCCCCCACCCCCTTTTTAAACATTACTAAGAACAACTGGCTGGGAGGCTGAGAGGTCGCTAGGACTCCAGTGTCGGCCAGGAGACTCAGGAACCGTGTCCCGAGCCTCCATGTGGGCGACGGAGGAGGGGGCCACAGGTCTCCGCCCCACCCAGCGCGACGGATCAGGGGGTGCGGCCCAGGCAGACCCCAGAAACCGTTCCTGCGGGCCACGAGGCAGACAGAGGTGCCCCCAGCCCCCACCGCCCAAGCCAGGGCTTCCCACCGAGGCCGATAGCCAGCAAAAGAGCAGCAGGGAAGGCCTTGGTCCAGAGCCCCACCATCCCCCACCCCCTGACGCCTCAGGGTCCCTCATACGTACTCTTCCACGTTCAAGTCACATAACTGGTAGAACATCTGTCGATAGGGTGGCAAGGCCCCCTCCCGGAAGACGTAGACCGAGTCCTGGGCAGAGGATGGGAGGACAGGACAGTGAGTTGGAGCTCGGCGCTCTCCCCAGCCAGTCTGCACCTGGCGGGCCCGGCTCCCCACCGCCCCCCGGATTCAGGCGGTGCAGACAGGCCAGGGGCCAGGAGCAGGCGTGCAGAGGCCCCGACGCCACTGGCTCTAGGACCACGAGCCACGTGGCCAGCCACGTGTTACGGCATGGGCTGGCACGCCAGCTCTGCGAGCCTTCTGCAGTCTGCCCTCGCTCCTCACCACCTCCTACCAACCGGTCCTGCTGTGGCTCCACATGCCACCTGCTGAGAAGCAGGGCTTACCGAGTGTCTGTTCTCTAGAGGCAGGGATGGTGGCCCGAGTGAGAGTACTTGAGGAGGGAGGACGGCCACTGAGGCGAAGACGTGGCTGCCCTCCTAAGAGGACAACGATGGCGCCTGTCTCCATGCCCCTCTGTGCCCCCTGCATGAGGCGGCCGAGCCAGGGGGGTAGGGGAGGAGCAGACAGCCCAAGTGGGTGGAAGGCCCATAGATTCCCACCTTCGGGTGTGCCGAGGGCCCCGCGAGCCTGTGAGGGGTCCTGGGCTCTTGGCTGCCAGCACCCCGCCCCGCCCACAGCGGGGGGCCTGTGGTCTGCCGTGGCTCTGCACACTCTCGCGCACCCCAGGCGGCCCATCCGGGCAGCGGCCACAGGCTCACTAAAGGCAGCCGTGCACAGCTGCTGCGTCACCTATCCCTCTTGGAGACATGCCCAGATGGCCCTCAGTGCCCACTGCCCACACCAAGCTCTCACTGTGCTTCCCAAGGTCGTCCTGGAAGGCACCGGTGGGCAGAGCTGCCTGTCAAAGCCCATCCTGCTGGCCCAGACCAGGGACTCTGGGAGCAAGTGTGTGCCCAGCCGGCATGCAGGAGGTGCCTCCTCTCCCCCGTCCCCTGCACCCTCAGCCGGGTGGGCGACTGCTCTCCTTTGGGGCTCAGGGGGCACCCACCTTGAGCTTGTACTTGTTGGAGGTCGATTTTCGCGTGCTGGCCATCCCCGATGGGCCCAGGCCCTGCTTTAGGTCATGCATGGTGACAAGCTGGCTGGCTGTGAGGGGACAGCAGCAGTACTTTGGAATACAGGGGGACGTTTCTCCCCACCCCTCCCTGGCATGCTGGCCAGCAGCACCCTGGAGCGACCCCTTGGGAAGCCCCACCGCACCCTGCAGTCCAGATGCCCACCTTCCTCGTGTCTCTGTGAGGGCAAATCAGCCCCGATCCCACAGGGCGAGCAGAGGCACTTACGCATCTTTTTGACGGTGATGGGAAGGCTGTAGTTGTAGGTGCTGCGCTTGGCCTTGACGGGCATGTCACTCGGGGCATAACCTGCAGGCGAGGAAGGGCATGTCGGGCGCAAGGGGGCGCAGAGCCCCTTCTTGCAAACAAAACTGGCTTTGCACTAATGGCGCACCAGGGTTCCCTGGGGCCGGCTCCTGAGAAAGGGATGCCAGGCCCCCCGCACCAGTTGCCAGCAGGCACCATTCCAGGGCCAGCCACACAGGACTGCGGGTAGCGGGACTGGCCCAGGGACTGGACGCGTGCGGGGTGCCTGGCCCCCACCGCAGGAGCAGGAAGTAAGTGGACTAACTGAGTGGGTGAAGAATGGGTTCAGCAGCTTGAGGGCCAACGGTGGAGCCAGGACTCCAGCTGAGACCCTCATTTCTACGCTATTCTGCAAACACCTCACCAAGGAACAAAGGCTTTTTCGTCTTCACCACATGGATACATTCTTATTCCAAAAGAGAATGCTAGCAGCAGAAAGCAATTAAGAGAGAGAAAGATAGAAAGACATCGTTTTAGTAATTTTTACCGTATTTCATTCCACAACGGATTCGGAAATCAAGGACTTGATAAATCTTGGCGTCTGGGTTTTTTCGGGGATCGTACCCGTATCGGATCCACAGGCTTCTCCAGGGACCTGTTATCTGGAAACAAAAGGCAGGAGTGTGAAGTGGGGCCAAGGCCAGTCCCTGGCTCCCTCAGGGATGCAGGCCCGGGGCGGGGTAGCTGAACACCCCGAGAGTTGGGGACACAGCGCTGGAACCCCACCCCGGCTCTGCCCTGTGCGGTTCTTGGGCAGGTCACTTGGCCTTTCTGAGCCTTGGTCTTCCTGCTGGAGGTGAGAGGAGCCCCCCTTTCCCATCGCTTCTGTGAGAATTATAAGAGGTGATGCCCCAGGAGCCTTTACCAAGCCTCCCGGCACACAGGAAGTGCCCAGGGAGCGTTTCCGCCATCCCAACGGGTGGTACTTCTGAGGTCCTTATGTCTAGAAAGCCAATGCTAAGAGACAGCCAGTGGCTCTCAGAAGTCTGGGGCTGGAGCACAGGAGGGATGAGCCTTCCTTGTGCCCCACCTTGCGCCCCACCTGTCATCACCATCATGGTCACGTCTCAGGCTTGCCTCCCCAGGGCTCTATGCAGGGACCCTTGACAGGTAGGATGCCTTCCTCCAGCGCCTTTGGGAACCTCAGTAATGACACCTCATCCCCAGGCCCTTCTGGACTGAGTCCAAGGTGGATCTGCCCCTCCCACCCCCAGCCCCACTCAACCCAGGTAGAATGAGCCAAGGCTGGTGGCCCTGTGGTTAGGGGGCCTGGGTTCTGCAGCCTAACAGGCTGGGGTCCCAAGTGGCTCTGTCACATGCTGGCTAGAGGACCTTGGCACATCAAGTCACCTCTCTGAGCCCCGGCTCTGCCTCAGAGATAAGAAGAGAATCCTGCTGCCACCCCCCAGGGAGGGGAAAAAGGATATAATAGGTACACAGCACTTAACCCAGCACCTGGTCCTTAGAACATTCTTAATATGAGATCATTTAAAAATGTATAATCCCTGGGGCGCCTGGGTGGCTCAGTCGTTAAGCGTCTGCCTTCGGCTCAGGTCATGATCCCAGGGTCCTGGGATCGAGCCCCGCATCGGGCTCCCTGCTCCGCGGGAAGCCTCCTTCTCCCTCTCCCACTCCCCCCTGCTTATGTTCCCTCTCTCTCGCTGTGTCTCTCTGTCAAATAAATAAATAAAATCTTCTAAAAAAAAAAGTATAATCCCTTTATTTAAAAGTTACATAATTACTCTTTAATCCTAAAATCATTCCAGTACGGTTAGCATTACTAGGAGGCCGTGGAGGGCCTTCCTAGGGCTGTAATAAGCCGCCTCGGGGGGGCGGGGGGTGCCGGGACAGGGCCACCTGCTCTTGCTGTAGCTCTGACAGGTCAGATTAGCAATCAGGGCGACCCTGGTGGGAACCAAGGCAAGAGGCTGGGCACTCACCATGTAATAGGCCACGAAGGGCAGCAAAACCTTGAGTTTGTCAGGGTGGACGCTGATGTTGGCCTTGACAGCGTTTCGTGACCAGATGGGACGGATTTCAAACAGCTGAGGAGTCAAGGCAGAGACTGAAATGAGCACCAGCAGCTTCCCGCCTGCCTGGCTCAAATTCTCCAGCATGGTCTGGTCCCCAGCAGACCCTTCAGGAGAGGAGCTGGTGGAGAGCAGGGCAAGGAGCAGCCTCTAGAAACCGCTGCAGCCACTCACTGGTCCCTGCCTTCTGAAGCAGGGACTGCACACCCAGCCTGGGTCAGATGTGGCTGCAGGGCCTGGGCATCCTGAAATGACCACAAAGGACACAGTCTCTCTCCTCATGCAGCTCACAAAACAGTCGGGGAGGCAGACGGCCAAAGGAGCCAGAGCAGGGCCAAGAGGGGGACATGCCAGAGTTCTGGGACCCCAAGCCCCAACCTAGAGGGTGAAGTCTCAGTTGGGATGTCGTGAAGGCCAAAGGGGACAGCCTGGCCCAAGGGAGGACTGCAGGAGGCCAGTGTGGCTAGAGCGTGGGCGGGGGCCCAGGCCAGGGATTGGGCTGTGTCTGGAGGACTAGCAGGGCCCTCTGATAGTGGTCCCCCATGGCTCCCCTCCAGTGACCAGTGACTGCTGGAAATCGGTCAGGTGTCCACACAGTCTCTTTAAGAAATAACGCCCCCCCGCAAGGGAATAGTCGGCTTCAGCAAGGGCGGAGGCGAGCCTCCGTGAGTAGCAACGTGGCCTCCCTGAGAACCTGCTGTCCATGCCTGCGCAGGCATGAGCAACAGAGGCCCCCCGCTGGCTCCTCTCAGGACCTGCCATCCGGGGGGCAGGCGGAAGGCTGCTCTGTCCCCTCCAGCACTAACAGGATAAAGCATCAGGGGGCATACAGTAGGTCCTCCACCTGGTTTCTTGCCACCAGTGATGGATAAATGAAAGCTTCCTGAACCCCAGAGCTCCACTGTGAAGTCACGAGCAGACAATGCACTGATCGCTTCCCACCCCTAAGGGACCTCTCAAGAAAATTCTAAGAAGTATTTTCAACCTTGGGAATGTAGGGCTTATACCGGCGTGGCTTTGAGATGGGACACCTGGAGATGAAACGTTCCCATGTGCCGATGAGCCAGTTTTAAAAAGTCAGTACAGCCATCTGCAGAACGAGGGAAGGGCCCTGCTGGGTAAATGGGAGGTGGTCAGTGCAGAGGAGGGCCCCAGGCTTGGGCTCACCTTCCTCAGCTCCTCCTCCACCTTCCGGTCCATGGGGTTGGTGGAGATCCTCCTCCACGTCTGGACTGCAGCCTCCAGCGGCTGCGTGGGCACCTCATCATCCTCAAAGTTGACAAAGATGGCGTTGTGGGGGCGCCGGGCCCTGCTCAGGCCAATCAGGTTCTCACCTGAGACGGGGGGGTTGTTGTAGCCTTCCCTGGGGCAGAGAGAGCCGGGGTGGGCTGGAGCACCTCCAGGAGGACCCCAGGCACAGGCCTGCCGGACCAGGCAGGGAGCCCACGAGTGGGTGCCTTTCCCCGGAATCCGGGAGACGGGTTGGGGGAGAATCTTAGCACCTGTGTTCTCCGGCTGACGGCTGAGCAGGGGCAGAGGCAGCGACTGCTGCCTACAGCTCAGAGGGGCCCTGGGGCCCGTAGCTCGCAAGCCGGGGGAAGCCAAAAGCGGTGCGGCTGCTGGTCTCACAACCGCACCGAGTCACCCAGGGCACCGGACAGCCCATGAGAAACAGAAAACCGTCAGGCAGGGGTGAGGAGGGGGAGGTGAGGCACAGCCACACAGGACACGCTCGGTCAGTTGTCAGGCAACACCTACACTTACTGACTCTGACGATTCACTGCCTTAACCCTCAAAACAACCTTAGGAGGAAGGAACCAATTTCCTACGAAGTAACTGACAGCAGCTAGAAACCTACCTAGAGTCAGAGCTTATATGGACAGAGCTGGGACTCCGGGCCCCGTGAACCCCGTCCCGCCACCCTCTGACAGAGCATGTTTGGCCCAGAAGCAACTGGGCAACAGCTGTGTGAAGAGAAGACGGACGTTACCGAACAGCACTGTCCTACAGCACGGGGGTCAGAAATGAGGGTTCTAGTGCCAGCTGCGCTCAGGCCTCTCTCTGCTGGCGCCAGGCCAAGATGCTCAGGTGGTTACCTCGTTAAGGTAGGATGTCAGGGGTCCTGGGGGGCTCAGTTGGTTGAGTGTCTGCCTTTGGCTCAGGTCATGATCTCAGGGTCCTGGGATCAAGCCCCGCATCGGGCTCTCCTCTCAGTGGGGAGTCTGCTTCTCCCTCTGCCCCTCCCGCAGCTTGTGCTCTCGCTCTCTCATAAGTAAATAAAAAAAAAATCTTTAAAAAAAAAAAGATGGGATGTCAGAAATGTCAAGAAATGTCAAGCTTATACTAAAGCAGGGAGGACAGTCTCAAGAAGCCCCACAACCCATCATGAGCACCATTGATTATCACCACATGGCCAATTTCATCTGTACCCCGCTGCAAACGCACGAAATTATTTTGAAATACGTTTTTTCACTTTTTTTTAAAGAGTTTTTAAAAGATTTATTTTAGTGGGGGAGGGCAGAGGGAGAGGGAGAGAGTCTTAAGCAGACTCCGTGCTAGTGAAGAGCCTGACATGGGGCTTGATCTCACAATGCTGAGATCATGACCTGAGCAGAAACCAAGAGTCAGATAGATGCTCAACCAACTGAGCCACCCAGGCACCCCTTGAAATACATTTTAAAGTATGTCCTGGACATCACACATTTTCATTCAGCTGATTCTTTCCTTTTATTTATTTCATTCTTTTTTTTTGAGGCGGGGAGGGGCAGAAGGAGCGGGAGAGAGAGATTCTGAAGCAGGCTCCACGCCCATCTTGAACCCAAAGCAGGGCTCAGTCTCATGACCCTGAGATCATGACCTGAGCCAAAATCAAGAGTCAGACGCTTAACCAAATGAGCCACTCAAGTGCACCCAGGTGATTATTACCTTTTAAATTTGTTTCCATTCTACCTTAATTTTCTACAAGAGTAGAAACCATCTGCCTATTTATAAAGGACACGTTGGAAAACAAAATTACAAGACGAGAGCAAGTTTGCGCCTCTTTTGTAAAGTGACCCCATTAGAAACCACCCCGAACAGGTGTGTCTGTTCTTCAAAGACATCCCCAAGACCCTGAAGAGCCCCAAGAGGGAAGGCCCCGGTGGCTCACTCCAGCCCAGGCAGCCCACTGCCAGAGCAGCAGCAAGGGGTGGGCTGCCTGCCAGGGCCTGTCACCACAGGGAAAGGGCTCCTTGGCCGCCTCGCCGACTCCCCCACTAACTTCCTCAAGGAGGAGGGACCCCTATCAGGCCAGCCTCCCAGCCTCTCCTCTGCCCACAGTCTTGCAGGAGGCTCAACTTCCCTGGACCCATGGAGGGGCCAGCAAGGCTGTGGCCCGCCACCCCCCCAGGCCCGCCAGCCCTGGTGTACCCAGGAAGGCCAGCAGAGCAGAAAAATCGATAGTAGCCCTGGGAAAAAAGGCAGGTTCTTTCCATTTGCTGGAACATTGATAAACCACATGGGGAGGAAAAAAGGGCCTGTGGTCCAAGGGCAGCCAGCCTTCCTCCCTTGTCCCTCTCCCAGAGGCCGGGGAACAGCTGCCTACAGGTCCCACAGGAGAGGGGTGACTCAGCCGCTCCAGCCCGTGCCAGGGCTCAGCAGTGCGGAGGAGTCTAGTTTCCCTTACATATTTTTGTGTGTTTCTGACTCTCAGGGGAAATAATCAAAGCATTTCAGAAATATGCAAATCATCTCTCCCCCACCTAAAACTCCTGTGCGGAGTATCACACACACAGAAAAACCCGTCACCCCAAGTGGAGGGCTTCGGCCGGGAGAGGTGCGGCCCAACCCTATCCACTCACACAGCTCTGTCATACTCTGGCCCGGGAACCACCACTCGCTCCTGTGGTCAGAAAGGGCTGGGGAGGGGGCCACAGATTCAACAGGCCTGAGCACTGTGAATGGAAGCTGCGGGGCGGCCTGCTTCTGGCTGGGGAAACTGAGGGAGGACTGGCACCGGAAGGCACAGGGGAAGCCGGTTCTCTTGCTCGTCCTGGCAAGAGTGCAGCAGGTTCGTGTGAGAACACAAGTCCTTCCCCATGGATGGGCACGGGGGATGCTTTCTCGAGGATGCGCTGGGAAGCTGAGGCCGGGCAGGTCGGCAAGCGGGGTAGAGGTGCCAATCGCAGAAGCTGGTGCCACAGCTGGGCCTCCGCTGGAGCGCTCGCTCTACTTTGGGCTGTGTTTGGAACTCTCCGTATTTTTTTAAGGGAAGAGAACAATACACCTTCTCCTTAGGATTAAATCTAAGCCCCTCACCATGGTCTGTGAGACCTATCGCTCTCCCAGGCTCCCTCTTCAACCACTCCCTAGCGGGCGCCAGTCCCCTGATCTAGAATGTTCTCCCCGGAGTCTGTTTCAAATGTCAGCCCCTCTGAGGGCCCTGAGCCCTCACCCCACTCACTGCCCCTTACAACCCACACCCCTTTTATCTCCTCTAAGACATGCATCTGGCCACGGGTCCATTGCTCACTCCTGGTTCACTCACGCTCCCTCCAGCTCCCCACCTAGCCCAGCGTGGACCTCATCTGTTCTCTGCTGATGCAGGGCTCCAAGGAGTGCCCCAGCGCCATGACCCGTGGTCAGCACTTGTTGATGAAAACATTTAGTGAGGAAAGAGAACATTCTCATCCTCCCACCCTCTACAGATAACTGCTCTGGGCCCCATATTTCAGATTTTTCTAGATTTCTATTGTCATGCCACAATTTACTTTTATATCACAGAATGTGCTCCTACACCTGCTTTTTTCATAGAGGAAGGTACCCAGGGCAAGTGCCATATCAATCCACGAGCCTGCTCATGGTGTTCCCTGGCCTAGAAAGGCCATAAATTCATTAGCCACAACCCAATTAATGGACTTGTTTATTCTATCAAGCTCTGCCAGGCACTCACTGTTCTAAGTATTTCAAGGTACATACTTTTGGGCATGAGTCTTCCGAGTCTTAAGGTGACATCCTGATTCCCCCTCCGTAGAGTGGGAGCTTTGAGCAAGGTCTACGTCACCGGGTACACTGCCTCTGGGAGCACAGGAGCCACGGGCCTGCAAAGCCAGCGGTACTAACTGCCTGACTCAGGAGTGGCAGAGTTGAGCCTGGGACCCAGGCCCTCTGACCACAGGGCCCTTGCTCTGAACCCTGATGCTGCAGTGGCCGGGGGGCGGAGGGGCTTACCGGTGCTGCGTCTCTGGTCGATAGAAATAGTCCACTGGGGTGTCCAGCCGAGAGAAGATGGGTGGGGGGATGTAGAGCGGCAGCTCTTGGTGGAAGAAACTCTCCTTCTCAGGCTTGAGCATGAGCACTTTGTCATACATGGACATGTGCCTGCCGCCAGCCTCCGTGTGCACAGCCAAGTACTGGAAGTCGGACATTCCTGGAAAGAGGTGGGCAGATGGCAGACGCCCCACTACACCCTCCCAGGAACCGGCGGCTGCTGCGCATCGACACCCACGTGTTCTCGGAGGTGCCAAGGGAGCTGTGCAGCGGGCCATGGGGGTGGGAGCTGAAACAGCACCTTCGGAAATACTTCTGTGCACGCGACTCCACGCACTTGGGAGTCTCCCAGAGGGGCTGGGGGAGGAGGGGGCGATGTGGTGCGTGAGGGTCCAGTCTAGGTCAGCGCTTCTTGAAACGCAGAGTGCACATGACTCACCTGGGACCTAGCTAAAGACTCTGGGATGCTGTACATCAGACAAGCCCCCAGTACCGGCGCTGCTGGCTGGGACGGAAGGTGAGCGGCGGGTGCCGGCTCAAGCAGACAGATGGAAAACGCAGCATGGGAAGACCTCGCCCCAGGAAGGACTGCCCTCTTTGGAGAGCACCGCATGCCACCAGAACGACTGATGTTCAAAATGCCCAGCTCAGGGGTCCCTGGTCCTGGTTTCATGCCGTTCCACTTTCCAGCCCCTCTTCTCCATCTGTGCTCTCTGCAGATTCTCTTAGAACTGCAGCTGACACTGCATTCCTAAGGCTCACTAGTAACCTACCAAGTGCCTCCTGTGTGCGCGAACTGGCCCTTTAATGGCATCCCCCGGACCCCAACCCTTCGTGAGGGCCTGAGGAACCCAGGGTCCCACACTGGATGGAGAAGAGCCCAAGGCTGAGGGAAGCTGAGCACCTGCCCAAACAAACTGGCTCTTTCTTACTTACCCACCCCCACCATACCCCTTACCACCCCTCACTGGGTTCCCTATGGGCAGCAAACTGATTGAGGAGCCCACGGGAGACACCCAGTTGGCTAAGAGTTCAAAGGAACATGAGGTCCCAAGGGGCTGAGGTGATCTGGGAAGGCTTCAGAGGAAAGGCAAGACTAGCACCAGTCAAGACCCAGAGAAGGTTCCAAAACACTGAGGGTCAAGAATTGGAGACCTGCTAACCGGTTTTATTTGGCCCTACATGATGGCCTTAAAAATTAGGGGATTATTCACAGAACGTCAGCTTTTCGTAAGAATGCAGAAGATGGAGCAGCAATGAGCCCCCAGTCCACTGAGAGCTTTTGCTTGTTGGAAGGAACAGGTGCCTCTTGGGTGGGGCCTGCACTGTCCCACTCTGCTCACCCCCTGCCCCTCATTCCTGGGCATAGACTGCCCCCTTCACTGCATGGATGACCCACAGAGCACCTGCAGGAGTGTGGACGCAGGTCCTAAAATAACCCATCGCAGTAAGTTGCAGTTACCTTGAAATTTGTAAATGGTGGAGATGGTGCCAAGTATCTCTATGTCAAATGTGACCTCGGGGTGGGGCTCAGGCCCCGGCACCTCCCTCTGCCGCCTGGTCTTCCTCCTGATCCGGAGCAGCAGGCTGCTGGTACTGAAGCGGTTGGCGCACACTGGGTGGCAGTAAGGGTCCTTGGGCCGGAAGTACAGCTCCAGCCTCTTGGTGGGGTCTGCGTAGATCTGTGGCGAGGCCAAGGAAGACAGTGACCAGTGGGTAGCTAAGTGGCTGGCCGAGAGCTGTCTCTCGCTCCACAAAAGCCTGATGGTGACCCAGCTGACAAGGGGAGGTCAGGGGGCTCATGGTTCAGTCTGAGCTTTTAATTCTCAAAAGACCCATTTTTCGAACCCAAGTATCTTAGTTTTTATCTAGTAGAGAAAACAAGGATAGTCTCCTCCTTCTAAGAGGCTGGAAAGCTAGAGACGATAACCGCCAGCTAAGTCGGACACCCCCAGCCAAGTGCCCGTCCGGTGCAGGGACTCATGCGCCTCCTGTGGCAACCTTCCATGGCGGTGTTCTGACGCCCGAGTCCTCCACGCAGGGACCGAGGCTGCTGACGCCCGAGTCCTCCACGCAGGGACCGAGGCTGCTGACGCCCGAGTCCTCCACGCAGGGACCGAGGCTGCGGACGCCCGAGTCCTCCACGCAGGGACCGAGGCTGCTGACGCCCGAGTCCTCCACGCAGGGACCGAGGCTGCTGACGCCCGAGTCCTCCACGCAGGGACCGAGGCCGGCAGGCAGGTGGCTTGTCTCCACCTTCCTACCCGAGGCGCCACCTGCCCCAAGGGTCTTGCTATTCAGTCTCACGTGCAAATGTTTCCAAGTCTGAAGGAACTGAAATCAATTAGTAACAAGCACTTTGGCTCTGACTAGCTGTCATTTATCCTTTCCAAGCCTCCGCTCCTTCTCCTTAAAATGGAGACACGAACAGTACCTACTCATGGGATTCTAACAATGATTAAATGAATGATTGAATTGTTGAATATGCAACACGCTGTCTGGTGTCTAACTCGTGGTGAACACTCTACACAAGTCACGCACCCACAAGTGCTTGCCCCGCACAGAGTAGGAGGGACACAGTAAGTGTCAGCTGTGTGCACATGAAAGCCCAACAATGCTCACGGGGCCAAGAGAATCTGCCTTCTAGCTTGCTGGCTCCCCAACACTAAGGACACAGCCTGGCCCTTAGGAGATGCTCAGGAAACATCGAATGAAAGAAGGTTAAAAGGAGCCCCAACCTTCAGGAATCCCTTCTCACGAGACACAGATCTATGAGATCGTGAGGCTGGGAATAACCCCAGCTGTGGGCCTGGCAGAGAAGGTGCACAAGCAGCAGGAACGGTATGAATCAATGGCCAGTCTCTTCCAAAAGGCTCACACTGTAGTCGGATACAAATATCCCTGGGGTTAGTGAGAGCAAGGGTCCTGTCAATCCTGAGGTAGAGTGAATGAGTCAGGATAAAAGAACAAAACAAGACTAACTGGGCCTCTATGGCATCCTGTGCTTAATGACAGGTTTTCAATATTCATTAAGCATGAGGAAGCAGCAGGTAAGAGTTCAGACTTCAGAGGCGAGACATGCATGAGTTCAAATCCCCACTGTAGCACGTGAGAGTTTGTTTGACCCAACTTTTCCTACCTGAGTCTTCATCTGAAAAAAGGGAAAAATGGGGGTGGGAGGGAGGGGGTGGCTGGGTGACAGACACTGGGGAAGGTATGTGCTATGGAGAGCGCTGTGAATTGTGCAATACTGTTGAATCACAGATCTGTACCTCTGAAACAAATAATGCAATATATGTTAAGAAAAAAAAAAAAGAAGATAGCAGGAGGGGAAGAATGAAGGGAGGGAATCAGAGGGGGAGACGAACCATGAGAGACGATGGACTCTGAGAAACAAACTGAGGGTTCTAGAGGGGAGGGGATGGGAGGATGGGTTAGCCTGGTGATGGGTATTAAAGAGGGCATGTTCTGCGTGGAGCACTGGGTGTTATGCACAAACAATGAATCATGGAACACTACATCCAAAACTAATGATGTAATGTATGGTGATTAACATAACAATAAAAAATTTAAAGATAAAAAAAGGGAAAAATGGTACCTAACTCCCTAGGTTGTTGTGAGAATTCAGTCATGCATATGACAAATATTTTGGAAGAAGGCACTATTAAAGATGTTAGGACTGCAGGAGTAAACAAGAGAGACAAGGTTCCTGCTCTCATGGAGTTTACAAGCTGAGAGCAACTGGCCAAGACAGACAATAAAATGTGTTAAAACATAATTTCAGATTGGAATTAACAGGTCGGGGCTCCTGGGTGGCTCAGTTGGTTAAGCATCTGCCTTTGGCTCAGGTCATGATCCTGGAGGTCCTGGGATCAAGCCACTGTTAGGCGGGGAGCCTGCTTCTACCCCCCCCTCCCCCCATGCACGCTCTCTCTCAAATAAATAAAATCTTTAAAAAAAGGGAATTCATAGATCGAGAAGGCAGATACAAACTACTAGAGACCACTTTGATTAGAGTACTCAGAGGACTCCCTATGGAAGAGACATTTCAAAATCTGGTGCATGTAAATCACCTCCCCTGAGCCTTGCACCAGGTAAGAAGTCATCCCAGCTCCCTCATTTTCCGGGAGACCTTGAACAAACTGCCTCGGTTTCCTAGTAAAATGCGGACAATGCCCTTTGCTACCTGGCAGGGTTCTAATGAGGATAGAATATAAGTAAAGCACCTGGTACCGAAAAAGTTGTTGGCCATTACCACCTTTATTTATTTATTTTTAAATATTTTATTTATTTATTTGACAGAGAGAGAGCACAAGCAGGGGGAGCGGCAGAAGGAGGGAGAGAGAGAAGCACACTCCCCGCGGAGCAGGGAGCCGGACGCTGGGATCATGACCTGAGCCACCGAGGTGCCCCCCATTACCACCTTTAACCCCAACAACACAACACCCGGGCCCCTCTCCTGTTAGTCAACGATTCTTAATCTCCCGCGCCTGGGTCTTCTCCTCTGTGAATGAGGAAGTGGCAGCCCAGCACGTCGCGGGGGCTGTGGCTCCCCGGATCCCCGGAGGAGGGGATGGAAAGGACACGCCGCCCCTCCCTGGGTCTCCACTACAACCTTTTCCCGCTGCTCCCAGGGAAAAGCAGTCCTCCCAGGCGCGCAGGCGGCAAGTCCCCGCCCACTGGCCGCCCCAGAGCCCGCCCCGAGTTCCGTTGCCAAGGAAACCACACCTCCCCGGGTGGTCCCGCCCCTCCGGCGGAGGTCCCGAGACTCGGTCTCTCCCGCGGCCCCGGCCACTCCCCCCATCCCGCTCCTCACCCGGGAAACGCCCTCCTCGCCGCCCAGAGTCCGCAGCATCTTGGACACGTCGCGCACCACGCCTGGGTACTCTACGCACACCATGCGCCGCTCGCGCCGCAGGTCCACGGGGACCGCGATCCCCGGCCCCGCGTCAGCCGCTGCCGTCGCCGCCGCCGCCATCCCTGCCAGTCTGGCCCGGCCCGCCGCGGTCCGTCCCTGCGGGTGCTCGTAGCGACCCCGCCGCAATGGTTCCGCGAAAGAATCGTTCCGGGTTGCCTCGCCGCTCGAGTCTCTCTACATCCCTGGGCTCAGCGAGACTCGAGGCCTCTGAAAGCAAAGGCCCGAGGTCAGACCCCCAGGCTTCGAGGTGAAGGACCGCCTGGTCCTCAAGTTGGGGTTTAAAAAGAAGAGGGTAGCCCGAGGGGCGGAGCAAGGGCTTGTGGCTCCTAGCAACTCGCGAGGGACCCGGAGGACTGTGAGACACCGCCCAGCTCTCGATTTCAGCCAATGAAAACCCGAGGGCCAACGAAGCGTCAGGGGGAAGCCTGCTTCCTCCCCTTCTCTCTAGCGCATAGATTTCAGCCAATGAGGAAGCAGAACTGGGCCGGGTCCCCGCCCCTTTCTAGGGCTCCTTCCAATGACGGCTTGGGGGCGGGCTCGAGGCACACTTCCGTCCCGCCTTCCGGTGAGGGACGATCCCGGGGCTGAGCAGATTTCCGGCCGAGGTCGGCCGAGGGGGTTTCCGCGGGTCTCTCACCCTGGTCCTGCCGGCCGCTCGGGGAAGACTTCTCCCGCGGCGCGCGGAGGTCGCGCGGAGTCGGATGTGGAAATGCGACGGTGAGGAAACCGCTTCGAATGCTCGCCCCACCTCCACGCACAGAAAACCCCGAAGCGCCCTCGGCCGCGGAGCTCGGGGAGGAAAGTGGGCGTCCGTCCCTCGTTCCTTAGTTATCAAGCGCGTGCTGTGTGGGGACAGAACTGTAGGGAGCAAAGTGGGGGACACGAGGGGTCGGAGGTCGACATAGGCCAGATGGAGCCTAAAAGTTGGGTGTGCCTCACGGGTGGGCTCTCTGAGTGCGATGTTGAGTCCCTGAAGGGTTTTATACCTGGAGTGCACGACCTGACTTGTGCGGGTGAAACGCTGTTAGCGTAGGGAATGGGTCGGGGGCGAGGGGTGTGGGGCGGGAAGCAGGCTCAGATGCAGACCCCCTGCGAGGCTTCGCGGGGGCCAGGGACGTGGCCGTGAGAATGGGAAGAAGGGGCTGCATTTGAGAATAACAGGAGATAAAAATCAGAGCAAGGGACCCCTTGGACGTGGGTACCCCAAGTTTCTGAAACGACTTCAGAATCAAAAGAAGACTTCGTTGTTCCAGGTGGGTGTAAGAGGGCTGAATCATCGGCTGCATTGGCCATTAAATGGATTTTTATTTTTATTTTTTTTAATTTATTTATTTGACAGAGATACAGCGAGAGCAGGAACACAAGCAGGGGGAGTGGGAGAGGGAGAAGCAGGCTTCCCGCGGAGCAGGGAGCCCGATGCGGGGCTGATCCCAGGACCCTGTGATAGTAACCGGAACAGAAGGCAGATGCTTAACCAACTGAGCCACCCAGGCGTCCCTGGAAGATGTTTTCTTTGGGCCCCAGGGTCAGTCTGGGAAGCACACAGTTGGTGTTCACTATTCCCCAGCCGGGACTAGATTGTCCCTGCACCCTTGGAATTGGAGAGGAGTAGTGTTCATTTTTGGCCACCAGATGGCGACAGAGCGTCCTCGCAGGCAACACCGCCACCTGGTGGTCATCGGTGCCCGTGACACCTGGAAGAAGGCAAAGCAGCCGCTGAAGGAGGAGAGATGGGAAGGGGGCCCAGGGAACAGACCCTCCCAAGAGTCCTGTGCTGGGCGGGGGTCAGCAGCCTGCTTCTAATCTCCTCCGACCGCAGGGAGGCCACGCCTCTTTCCCAACACACATATACGCACGCCCGGATCCGGGAATCCTCCTGCACAGTTCCCCCCACTGGCAAGCGATGGGGCCCCGGGCAATGGGGCTCATCCAGGGGCTTCAGTTTCCTTTTAGCTACAAGAGGGACAAACTGTTGCCAAGTACATTGACCTTCCTAGTCAATTTGGTATTCCAAAGCAAAATTAAACTAAATGCGCGCAGGACAGAACTTCAAAGGTTCTTCATAAATAGCGTTTATGTTGCCAAGTTAAATATTTTCAAATACTTGCCAGGCAAAGGTAAATTTACAATGAAGCTAATAAAATTTAAACACCAGGGCCCCTCAATAGCAGGTACCTTTTTTTCCGAGGCTCTGGGAGGTGCCTTACGCTTGGGTTCACACAGGCATATGTTTTTATAAAATTTTTTAAAAGTAAGATATTTCAACTGCAGCTGGTTAAGGCTTCTGTGTCTTTCTACCTAGCCTGCCCTCCATCACACTTGCTCTTGTGTTGGGAGGCATCGAAGTGGTCACAGGCATTTAAGGGATTTGGCAAAAGGAAGTCCAGTTGGGAGTACATTCCGTTTGGATTGCATGGAATCCGTGTGTGGTCTGCAGTCACATCTGTGACTATTGCTGGCCATCCTCTGCGGGAATGGCTTCCAGGAATACACACTCTCCCGCCTTCTGTGACACCTACTGGTGTCGCGATATGAAGATCCAGGGCTAAAGGTAGTATAACTGTCAGAGCCAGAAGCTAGTCTGGAAAATTCCTTCAATTAGCAGACACAAGCAGAGGAAAGTAAGATGTACAGCCACTTTGGAAGAAAGTATGGCAGCTCCTCAAAAAATTAAACCTAGAATGACCACATGATCTAGCAATTCCCCTTCCAAGTGTATACCCAAAGGAATTAAAGGCAGGATCTCAAAGACATATTTGTACACCCATGCTCATAGCAGCATTATTCACCATGGCCAAAAGGCAGAAGGAATCCAAGTGTCCATCAACAGATGATGGACGAACAGAATGTGGTCTGTCTATACCATGGAATATTAGTCTTAAAAAGGAAGGAAGTGTTGACAAGTGCTACACCATAAATGAAGCTTGAGGATGTTATGCTATGTGAAATAAGCCAGCGACAAAAACACAAATACTGTATCATTCCACTTACCTGAAGTACCTAGAGCAGTTGAATTCATAGAACCAGAAAATTGATTGTTGGTTGCCAGGAGCTGGGGGAGAAGAAGGAGTGGAGAGTTAGTGTTTAATGGATCTCGAGTTTCAGTTTGCAGGATGAACAAATTCTGGGGCCGGCTGGTGGTGACGGTTGCATGGCAGTGTGAGTGTGCCTAACATTACTGAGCCACACACTTAAAAATGGTTAAGATGGTAAATTTTATGTTCTGTGGATTTCACAATTTTTAAATGCAAGCAGAGAAGTTGGTTCTCATCAACCCTTAGAATGGAAGTTCTCTATCAAACTGTGATAATGCAGACTAAACAAGTATAAATGTAACATACACTTCTGTTTAGTTTTAATGGGAATCGCACAAAACAGAATTTACCGGAATTCTGTGTAGGGTTCAACTCTGTAGAGGTACTATGGAGAGCCAGCACGTCTGGGTGCAAAGTAGCATGCTTTATGCTCTCCAGCATTTCTGATCTCTGTTTTGCTACGGCATTCTCAGTACTAAGTTGTAAAGCTGAGAAAAGATGTTCTAACTAGCAATAACAGAAGCTGAACTTTGATCAGCCATGCTGAAGACTTTCCATCCTCTCTGTAGAAAATGATGTTACAAATAATTGTTGGGGCGCCTGGCTGGCTCAGTCGGAAAAGCCGTGCACCTCTATTCTTGGGGTCGTGAGTTTGAGCCCCACATCCAGCGTGGAGCCTACTTAACTACAAAAAGAAAAAAAAAAAGAAGGTGCTATCTTGAAAAAAAAATTGAATCAAGATTATTGTTGTATGAGGAGGCAAACGAGTATGTAGCCAAAATATGTGGGAAAAGGTGTTCTAGAAAGATGTCCAGCCGTTAATTAGTATAAATTTTTTCCTGGATACTTGGATGTCATATAGAATTATTTATTATTTGTTATGCTTTATTCCCCTCCTTCTAAATAGTGATTTGCTTTTACACCTAATTTTGTATTCTTAATGTTTTCTTTGGTGTAAAGTAGGACCTTACCATCGTGTACACTTCCAGCCCCCCGCCCCCAAATCTCAGAACTGCCCAGAGATGTTTCACTGTTAACATGGGAGCATGTGGTCTTTCACAACTTTCTAAATCCTAACTCAAAGTGAAACTTCTTGCGATGCCTGGGTAGCTCTGTCAGTTAAGCATCTGCCTTTGGCTTAAGATCCTGGGATGGAGTCCCACATTGGGCTCCCTGTTCAGGGGGCAGCCTGCTTCTCCTTCTGCCTGCCGCTCCCCCTGCTTGTGTGCTCTCTCTCTCTCTCTCTCTCTGACAAATAAAATCTTAAAAAGAAAAAAGCAGAACTTCTCTTAGGGTCTTTCTCTTGCTCGATATCCAAAAACTAGGGAATTTTAAAATTATCCTTCCTGTTCTTGACTTCTAGCTTAATTTCACAATAGTCAGGGAACATATTCTATATGATTTCAACCCTTCCTTTAAAATGCATTGGGACTTGTTGGGGCGCCTGGGTGGCTCAGTTGGTTGAGCATCAGACTCCTGGTTTCGGCTCAGCTCATGATCTCATGGGTGTGGGATGGAGCCCCGGGTCTGGCTCCATGCTCGGTGCAGAGTCTGCTCGGGATTCTCTCTCCCTCTCCCTCCTCCTCTGCTTCTCTCCCCTCCCCTGCTTATGCTCTCTCTTAAATAAATACATTAATTAATTAATTTTAAAAAACAAAATAAAAATTAGAATATATTGGGACTTGCTTTATGGCCCAACATACAGTTAGCCTTGTGAAGTGTTCTGGGTACATTTGAAAAGAATGTGGCAGGTACCATGTCCTATATCCTTCCCGGGTGTACATGCGTGTGCGCATGCGTGTGTGTGTGTTCATCTGCGCAGTCTATAAGAGATGTGTTAAAATTCCCCACTGTAATCATGACTTTGCCTAGTCTCCTCGCAGGTTCGTAATTTTGCTTTGTTTCCAACTGAGGTCCGTGTTTTTGTGTACATGTAAATTTAGAAATGTTACACGCGCCTGGCAAATGGGTCTTTAATGGTCATGAAATGTTCCTCTCCATCTCTAGAAAAGTCTAAATTGTCAC